GGAGGAAAAGGATGTTAAAACAGCTACTACAACTGTGTACAAAAATTTAAAGGAAAATATGAGCTTAATGTGGAGGGAAATGGAGCTATTAAAAAAAAAACCAAATGGAAGAAAATACAGTCCCTGTAATGCAAACGTCACTGGATGGGATTAACATCAAATTAGACACCGCAGAAGAAATGATCAGTGAGCCTGAAGACAGAGCAATAGAATTTATTCAAAATGAAATGGAGAGAGGAAAACAACAGGAAAAATAAATAAACAGACCCTCAGTGACCTGTGGTACAATATCAGATGGTCTAACATATGTGTAATTGGGGTTCCCTGAGCAGAAGAGACAAGGAAGTTACAGGAAAAACATTTGAAGAAATGGCCCCACACACAAGTGCACATGCACACACCCCTGTAAGGTTTGTCATAATCAAACTGGTGGTGATAAGAAAATCTTAAAAGCAGCTAGAGAGAAAAGGCACATTATGTTCAGAGGAACAAAGAATATCCGAAAAGTTCTCATCAGAAACTGTGCAAAGCGGAAGACAATGGGATGACACGTCACCTCCTTAGAAAGTCCTTCCCTGACCACCAAACCCTCCCTGCATCCACTGCATCACATTCTGTTCTTACCCGGCTTTAATTATTAACTTGCTTGCAGTCTCTCTCCTAGAACATAAGCTCCAAGAGGGCAGGAGTTAAAACATCCTTTGTCTTATTTGCTGCTTTATCCCCAGGGCCTGGGACAGTACCTAGTGTTTGGTAGGTGCTTAACAGATATTTGATAAATCTGTCTTCCAGGTAAAAGGGTATAAAGCCAGAGAGCACTAAAGCATCCTGGAACTACTAATAGTTCAGCACAATTAGAGCCCCAGGTGTGCAGCAGTGAGTCAGAGGAAATAAGGCTGGAGTTGGATACAGGTGCCAGGTCATAGAGGAATTTGTAGGACATGCTGTGGATCCCAGGCTTCCTTCTGGAAGCAGAGATTTTAGGCAGAGGAGTGTTAGTATTTTATTTGCATTTTAGAAGAATTACTCTGGCAGCCCCTCATGCCAGATGAATTAGAGGGGTGAGTTTGAGAGCAAGGAAACTGATGGGGAAGTTGTTCAAGTTGCCCAGGGGAAAGATGCTGCAGGTCTGATCCAGACTAGGAAAAGGGAGGATGGGTCAGACCTAGAAAGCGTTCTAGCAGGTAGAATGCACAGAGTTGGTAAGCAGCTAGATGTAAAGGATGAAGGAGACATTCTTGGCTGCCTGCCACAGGCTCAGACTCCCTCACAAGGCTATAATCAGCATGTTGTCCAGGACTGCAGTCGTGTCAGGGCTTGACTGGGGAGAGATCCCCTCCCCAGCTCACTCACATGGCTGTTGGCAGGCCTCCGGTACCCTCCCTGGCTGTTGACTGGGACATCAGTTCCTTGCCACTTGGGACCCTGCAGAGGGCAGCTCACCACATGGTAACTGGCTTCCCTCAGAGTGAGCATGCAGGAGAGTTAAGAGAAGGTATCCCAAGATAGAAGCCACAGTCTTTTTATAACCTAACATTGGAGGACACAGCCCATCATTTCTGCCCAATTTTGCTTGTTAGATACAAGTCACTAGGTGCAGCCCACCCTCAAGGAGAGGGTATTACGTAAGAGCAGGAATGCCAGGTGATGGGTATCATTGGGACCACATTAGAGGCTGCTGGCCACAGATAGTTTGGATATGTAGGATTCGAGGAGTGTGGGACCTCCTAGTTGGGAATACTCTGGAGACAGGTGGATGTGCAGTTCTGAGGCTCAGGAGAGAATCCCCTCTCATTGGAATGTAGCTTGGAGCCTTTGCATGAGTTTACAATGAATGGCTCAGGGCCCTTTTCTCCCCAACTTGCTTTGGAGGCTTCTAGAGGTGAGGGGTGAAGGACAGATATCTTTGAATCCCTAGGGCACCCGTCAGGTAACACATAATTGCTGACTGAATTACTTGGAGGGGTGGATAGTATCATGATTGAAAAGTCCTCTCTCTCTATGTGACATTTCCTACTCTGCCACCAAACCAGAGAGAGGTTTTCCCATTTCTAAGCTTCAGGTTTCTAGTCTGCAAAGTGGATTTTAGACTAGATTAGTAGTTTTTCTTTTCTTTTTTTTAAAAAGGTTTTCCTTACGGGAATACTAAGATGTAAAATCGGTAAAAGTTGATCTGATCTGGTCTCCCCTAAAAGACCCTCATTTTGAAAAACACTGGAGCAAGTAAATTCTGGATTTTCTGCCAACTCTTCTGGAGTTTTATGACAAGATCAACTCTAAGCTTCTCCCAGTTCTGTGATTCTGTTTATTGAGATCCACTGGTGGTCCATATTTCACTGAACTTTTGGGAAAAAAGTCATACTTCCTTGAACCTGGGAAAAATATAATAAAGCTGACTTTCGTTTAATACTTACTATGCATCAGGTACTGTGCAAAATATTTTACATCACGTTTTTATTTCCTCCTATGTCCCCTATTAGAGTGTAAGTGCCATGAGGGCAGGGACTCTGTCTAGTCCACTACCATATTTCCAGGAGCTAAAATAGTCCCTGGGACATAGGGAGCATTCAATAAATATCTTATGAATGAATGAACTGAGGTGAGTACTATTCTTACTCCCATTTTACAGATGAGGAAACTGGGGCATAGAGTTGCTAAGTAACTTGCCAGTAGTTACACAAGATAAAGGCAGAGTTAAGGTCTGAAATCAGCTCCTCTGGACTCCAAAGCCATTAATGCTACTTCTTGTTGATGGGATTAGAAGGAAAGTGGAAAGGGAGCTGGCGTATGTCGAGTATCTTCTTTAGGACGGGCATAATCCTAGGTTCTTTTTGCTTCCGTTATCAACCACCCTGCAATGGTTATCAATGGGCTGCCATTATGCCCATTTTTCAGACGAGGTGTGTGAGGCTGAGAGAGGCTAAGTTGTCTAGCTAGTGTGAGAGACTTGGCTGAGATTGAAACCCAAATCTGTCTGGCTTCAAAGCATTTTTGCACAAGACCCAACATATCCAACTACATCCACCGAAGTTTAGGTTCTGGAAGATACTATGCTACGGGCGCGTGCAGGTCTATGTGGCTGGTGGGGTTTTGTCACTCCCCTTCTCCAGCTTTCCTATAGCTGTGCATTCCCGAAGCCACTGTGCCTTGAGCTGAGAAGAGTCCACCAGGCTGAGAAAGTGCAAGTCCAAACTTCTAAGATGTAGCAAAATGTAAGCATTGATGACTCAGGATGAGGAACGCTGGCACCAGTAGCCGGCCATTTCTGTAACCTCATCAGCATCGCGCGTCTCAGACCAGGTCTGAAGTTAGACTGATGGTGTCACCGGAGTCTCTTAAAGCCCTCATTACTCATATCCACTTGTCATATATTATTAAGCAGATCTATAATACATGTAACATTTTCTACTGAATTTCCATTCCTTTCTTCTCATGACCAGGGAAAGAAAAATAGAGTAAGAGTGACTTCTCCCAACTTTTCATCCTCACTGCCCTTTATTGAAGAATAACCTCATCTTAAATTACCCCCCAAAATGGTCCTTTGAGCTCTGATTTCATTAACGAGGATGAAGCTAGAGTTTAATAATTATCATTTAACTGATACATAGTCTATATAGACAAGTCAATGGATTTCCTCTCATCTTTTCTTCTTGTGGACTCCACAGGGGAGGGGATGCAGTTATATCTTTTTTCTTCCCTCTCCTTTATTCTGTACATTATTTTTTGAAACTTTGGGATTGTATCGCTCACATTAGGAGCTTTCTAACTTAACGTCTCCTATAGAGATAATGAGACGAGCATCTGACGTCCTCCTCGTAGTCCAAGTCAGAATCCAATCTGAAGGGTGAAGAGATGTTATCTGGATAAAGGGTTATTTTGGGCAGAGGGAGTGAGATGCACAGGGTGGCTTACCCCATCGCAGGGCTTGTGAGGAGTTGAGAGAGGCCAGAAGACAAAGCCTCACGTGAGGCAGCAAGCCGGATTCCAAAGCAGGCAGCCGACAAATGGTCCTGGAGTCACCTTGGGTGCAGGCTGGCTTCATCGGTGCGTGATCTGTGCAGTCACACAGGGCCCCCATCGGAAGGGCTCCACGCGTGGTTTAAGGCTCCGTTTCACCATCCTGAAACCGTTTTGAGTAAGAGATCCTGCCTTTTCATCTTGCACTGGGTCCTGCAAACTATGTAGCCAGCTCTGCTTGGGTATGAAATCCGGCTCTGTCACTTCCTGGGTAGGTGGTCTCAGGGAAGTCCACTTTCTGAGACTCAGTTTCTGCTTCTGTGAAATGGACAGCCTGATCCCTGTTTCAGATACACTGTTGTGAGGATTCAACGGGAGGTTCAGATACACTGTTGTGAGGATTCAACGGGAGGATGAGTAATTGGTGCATTGTATCATAATTGGCGCCTAATAAGTTCTCCTGTCTCCTTAGCTAGAATTGCCCAGGGGATTTGTTATTCAGACTGCATTTGCCTGCGCTCCAATCTGAACGATTCTGACTCACAGGTGTGGGCTGGGGAGGAGCAGTGGTTTTGAAAGTGATCCTTAAGTGATGCTGATATGTACCTGAGGTTAAGAAGGATGCCCTTGGGTTTTTTTTCTTTTTAGAGGTCTAGTTAAGGAGCAACTTAACAGAGGAGAACAGAAGGAGAGGGAGAAATTGATGGACTGCTTCTGGTCCTTAACATAATAAAAAAACTTATGAAAGAAGAAAAAGGTCGCCATCTCACAGCACTTGAGATGACACACCAATAGTGCTGAAGGGAACATGCGAACCCACCGCATTACCAAGGCTCCTGGAAAATTCTCTGCTGTGCAGTTGGCCTGACAAGCCCCTGCAGAGGTAGAGGGTGTGTGGACAGGAGAAGCCAGGGTCCAGCCCCAGGTTGGGGGGCAGCGTGGGAATTTATTTTCACCTCGAATGCCCCAAATACCATACTCGATTCCTGAAAAAGACACTGTAGCTCGAAGGAGTAATTCTGAATTGTGTTTGTCCTGCCCAGATTTTAGGTTTTGACATTCTTCTAATGAAAAACCTGAAGCCCATACTCCTTGAAGTAAACGCAAATCCCAGCATGAGAATCGAACACGAGCAAGAGGTAAGTATCTTCAGCATCTCGTTGAATATGTTGCCATCCAACCACACGTCCCGCTCTCGTGTTGCTCCCTTGGCCAAACGAGGTTCGGCATTCTCAGATTTGCCCAGCAGAGTTCTGTTCAATCCTAAATAATCTCGGTTTTGTTGTGCTCTGGACATGCTCTATTAATATAAGACCTCCTCGACCTGTGGTCGTTTCCCAGCATGCAGTCCTTCCAGATCTTAAGATCTGCAGATGTAGAAGAGCTGAGCCTTTCCATCAGTTCTGATCTGAACTAATTAGCTAGCCTCGGGAGATGAATTAATTGAAATTCTGTGAGTATTATTTAGCCATGCTGACATGCTTGAATCACGAAGACAAACAGTACATTTAACAGTGGGTCTATTTTCCCCCGCCCCCTTAACAATGCATAGAAAAGACTGGAAGGAAATACACCAAAGATTAATTTTGGGTTTGGGGAGGATTACGTGGATTCTTTTCATTTTCTCTGCCTCTTCCGTATTTCCAAATTTTCTACAATGCATAGGTGTCATTTTGCTAATTAGAAAAATAGATTTTTTTCCCCCTCTTTGTGTATTTTGTTGATCTGTAAAAAGGAAACTGACGTTTTTAAGATAAAGGGAATTCTAAAGGAAAATCTAACAGTCCATCCACTGGGGCTACTGCTGACAGTCACCTGGGACTGAATCACTCTCTCTGCTGTAATACGGAATCCGTACCTTTTCAAGCTCTCTCCAGGGGTGTTTGAGAACGTCCCCAGCCTTGTCGATGAAGAAGTAAAAGTGGCTGTGATCAGAGACACACTGCGTCTCATGGACCCACTTAAGAAGAAAAGAGGGAACCAGTAAGTATTTTTGAAGTCACTTATCTCTACCAACTCTGCTTCCCGTGTCCGGCGCAGGTAAGTCGAGTTCTTGAAACATGTTAACACTGTGAGATTTATGCATTAAACATTCTGATAAGTCATATTTTCATCTATGAAGATCAGCCTCCAAATACAGTGACTCAAAAGTCAGGAAATGGAGGCCTGCAATTTGAATTTGACATGGGGGGTTTAGTGGATGAATTTCTAGCCGATTCTTATCTGAGTCTGGAGAGTCTTTCCTAAAAACCCACTTTCCTCCAGTGATGGGATCTCCTCTCGCTCACCATTGCCCACATAGTGCTCCTCTTTGAAATGCTGAAGCACAGGGAGAGTACAAAATGCCACAGGTTCCCGGGACGTGGCAAGGATCACTTCCTTTCAATTTTCTTCGTGACGTTTACACTCTTGCAACAGAAGCTCTTTGTTTCAAAATCTGCAGATCCAATTATTGGACTTTCAGCTGTTCTACAATATTTATAGCAGTTGGAATTCCCCTCCATCTCACCCACCCAGTGGATGGTACGTTGAGGTGTCATCCCCGCCCTTCCCTCCGTGGAATCATCCCCGAAATGAATAATATTTCACTTGGGTATTTTGTTTGTTTTGTTTTTACCAAATTCCTGGCTTCCACAAAGGAAGAGCTGAGTAAATATCACTGTGCCTGTTTTAGGCAGGCATCTCAAATAGCGTTCCTCATACCCCCGACAAATCACATGGACCCAAACAAGTAAAGCACTTGTCAGCTACGGTTCCAGACTGTGAGCGACACTGACTTCCCTAAGCAGGGGTGTTTCTGTGGGTTCCCCTGCTGCGGCTCCCCTCCTGGGGCCCAGATACTGTTAGAATCAACCTGGGGTGGTGCCTCTCCCCTTGGCTACACCTTAGAACCATCTGGAGAGCTTTTTCATAAATACCAGGGCAAGTGCCCCCACTTCTAGAGATGCTGCTTTTAATTAGCCTGGGCTGGAGGCCTGGCCACAGAAATATTTTAGGTTCCCGAGGTGATCCTATCATGCGGCCAAGGTTGAGTGCCGCTGCCCTGCAGGAAATGTCACTCTGAAGGGGCATTTGTCATTTTCTGAGTCAAGTTGGATGGTACCTGCTCGGCTGGGTTCTCCTCCAGAGCATCCTTTGCTGTGTGAGGCACAGACGCACTGTCGGCAAGACTTGCTGAGAACGCTCACCTGTGGATCGTATGGGCCGATCCTGCCAGGAGCGGCCGCCACCGACTAGAGCTTCAGAGCGGTGGCGTGGCAGGTCTGCAGAATCCTCCGAGCAGCTGATGGCGGTGGATAACGGGTCTAGTCATTCACACGTGCAGCTGCTACTTTTAGCCACTCCTAAGGATAAACAGTGGATCAATTACACTTTGGTCAGATTAATTGCAACAGAACACATTCCTCAAAACCCTGCTCTCTAATGGTTATTGATCTCACCACTAGAGATTAGGTCTTGAGGGACCGTATTGCCCTGTGGGGAGATTTTGGTGGCTGTCCATGCCAGTATGGCACGGGCGGGGGATGACAGATTTTTAAAGATGACCTTGACACTTCAGCATTCCTATTCGTTTGGTAGGAACCAGTTCAAAGGCTTTTGTGTGGCCTGAGCCGCCTTAACCTCTGCCACCCAGAACAGGAAGAGATGTAAGGGTCCCCCTGTATTTGCACATTAAAAGGCATCGAAACATGATTAGCTTTCTTTTTCATGTTTTAGTTGAGTTTTTTTTTTTTTGACGGAGACCTGGCATTCTGTATAATCCTTATGAGCTGCAGATCTAAAATTTAAATGGGCACAGGGCCATTGGGAAGGATGGGAAAGGCATTTTATAACTTATCAAGTCAGAAGTAGCAGCACCTCATTTTTAATTTAAAAAGCATTGACTTTTTTAAAATTGATAACCAGGAACAGTTAGAGCTTCGAGAACCTGACTTCAATTCTAATATAAAAACGCTTTCATCTCACCCTTTTCTTACCCCAATATAAGGATGTATATTAAGAGCTAAATGTCATTTACTGATATTTCTCCTTAATTATACCTTTTTTTTTAAACCCAGCAATGATTGTCCATGAGAGCATTTTGTAATCTGTAAAGTGCATTTATATGGAAGAAATTATAATCATCATTTTGATAACTTTACCGTGCAGACAGAAAGGCTGCAATTATTCTCAACTCTTTTATGTAGAAATGTTTTAGGGTAACTTGGAAAAGCACCGTAGTTACGCCTGCAGAAACACACAGTGTTGTGATGCTGAAAAATGTGTTTAAATCTGAGACCAGGTCCCTCCAAGCGCCGGAAATGAGGGACTTGTAGGCCGGAAGTTACCTTTAGAAGCTGAAATTTCTTGTGTTTGAATAGAATCCAACCTAAATCTTTTCAAATAAGTGATATCCTAGCCTTTGCCTTCAACTCCTTAGCAAAAGAGGGTCTGACGTGTCCCTCATTAGTTCCTTCCTGAGTACACTTTGGCAGCAAGACCGTTGAAATGGGTCTTAATTTTCCCCACACAGGCTCAAGAAAAAAAGTAGATAGATGTCCTGAACGCCTCATATCTCTAAACTGCTCTGGGAAGGTGCAGAGGGGGCCTTGGAAGGGCAGCAGCCACACATGTCCATGCATCAAGCATCTTGGCATGCCCCAGGAGCTTGTAGGCTGGGGTTGGTTTCTTGATGGGACTGAAGGCTGTCCCCAAGCCTCCCGTGGGGAGAGGCACTTGTGACTCTGCTGAGACTCATCTTGGCGTAGTTGACAGAACTCTGTCTTGTGCTGAAGAGACTGAGATTCAAATCCTGACCTTGGGGACGTGCAGGAGCTATTTTGAGCCTCATTATCCTCTTCTTGAAAATGGAGATAATAACGTTTAAATGGAACAGCATGAAAAACTTTTACAATATATTAGGTACTTAATAATGCTTAGTTTACTACTCAGCGATAAAATGAGCTGCTAAACTATCAACAAACAAACAAACAAGAATGCTTAGTTACCACGATCTTTCCTGGTTATACTTAAAGTAGATGTTCGAGTTTAAAACCCAGGACATATCTTAAATGGAAGCTAGTTAGGTCACGGTGGACTGGAACTGCCATTGGCGCTGGCTGCCAGAGGGAAGTTTTGTTTCCAAGTAGCATGATGTCACTGGCCCAAGCAAATTTATTTGTTGGGTTAGGAGCAAATACATTCGGCCCCCAAGGGAATAAAATAGCTGTCATATGAGAACTGTTCTGAACTGTGGTGACATTTTGTAATATCTAGGGACTCTCTTGATTTACATACGAGGGTTCTTTGGAGGCACTGCAGGGACGTGGGAAGGGAAGGCTGTTCAAGGGAAGGACTCTGGAACCATCACCTATCTGTGCACACATGGAGGTAAAATTCACATATAAAATTAGCCATACTAAAGTGTAGTATACACTCACAGTGTTGTGCAACCATCAACCTTATGTAGCTCCAAAATGTTTGTCACCCTAAAAGGAAACCCTGTATCCTTTAAGCAATCACCCCTATTCCCACCTCCACCCACCTACTTTCTGTCTCTGACACATATGAGAATATAAGAGAAATGCTGCTGCTTAGGGTCACCAAGAGGTCCATCAGGCTTTACTTTCAAGTTTCGCTATTCTGGATACTTCATGTAAAGGGAACTGTACCATATTCAGTTTTTTGGTATCTGGCTTCTCTCACTTAGCATGTTTTTGAGGTTCACCCATGTTGTAGCATGTATCAGTACTTTATTCCTTTTTATGGCCAACTAATATTCCATTATATGGATATACCACATTTTACGATCCATTCATTACTTGGTGGACACTAGGGTGGAAGCCATTTCTTTTTCAACCAGAGGGGAGCTGGAATGATCTATTTTGTATTTTGGCGTTCTACAGATTTCCTCTGAGAGGAAAGGATCTTTTCTGCTACAAGGAATCTCTAAATCCAACCCCCTCATTTTATTGATAGATGCACAGACTATTAGAATTGGAAGGCAGATCCCTGGTTCAAGAATGTCCCACCTAAGCCTCCCTGACAGAGGAGCAGCCTGTGTTCTGACCAAGGCACTGGATGTGGCATCAGCCAGGTCTGGGCTGAAGTCCTTAATCCCTGATCATTTCAGTATGAGCTTAGCCAAGTCGCTTTGTTCTCTGAGCACATCTATGAAATGGAGATCAAGGTGTCTCCTTGGCTGGACTGGCATGAGCGTCATATGAAATGACACAGACAAGAGACCTTCATGACATCTGAGGGTATCAGACAAATGCTAGTTCTTAAGGTCACCAAGTGGCCAATTAGGCTTTGCTTTAAAGTTATGCAGATGGGGAGACATGTCATCCACTCCGGAAGCAGCCTACCTGAGTTGTGCACATAATGATTCTGCCCGCCTGAATCGTACAAGATGAAACAAAGACGAAGAAGGTTGGTCCCTTGCCCCACGTCACAGCACTAGTTAGAGGCGGAGCAGAAACTGGATCTTGGGTCTCCTGATCTCTATTCCAGAGTCCTCTCTGCTCCATCACACTGCTCCACTGACCTTCAGCTTCTACTTCAAAGCTAAGCTTATAAGATACAGTAGAAAAATCAGGAAAATCAACGGAAAATTTCCCCTATTCTCAAAGTATTTGGGCAGCCTAAGTCTTTCTTTTTAAAAACTTCTATCAGAAGCAGAAGTGAATAAATTGCATTCCTTGATTATTTTGTAAAAAACAAGGTGATTATTCCATCAATTGAGTAATTTGGGGGAAATCGGTTTACCCCTGGGGGAGCCATTTTACTACTATTTTGCTCCTTACTCTGAATGTAGATGTTTTGAGTAATCACATTCCTTTCTCAGGAACCATAAGCCTTTAGGACCCCAGAGGAATATAAATAAAAGCAGGGATAGGCTTGGAGGAATCAGAGGGGATCTTGACGCAGTGCCTGGGAGCTGGGGTGGAGACTGCTTGCCTCTTACTCAAAAGTGTACATTTGGAACATGACTTATGTGAGGC